TATTAACTAAAACGGCGTTCCATACTAGTATCATTCTTAGACACTTAAAACGCCTAAAAATGGTTTAATCAAAATGTTTAACTTTTCCGATATTATTCTATATTCTTTAGCTCGACTTTATTTTATTCTCCAATTAAAACTATTAGCATCAGCCTGAAATGATTTGTCACAAATAGCAGCACGATTTTATATACCTATAATATTTGAACTGAGACTAATATTAATTTATATTAAACTCAATTTAAATTTATTTTACACCTGTAATACAAGTATAATTAGTAATCATATTATTCTAAATTAAAACTGAAGGTACTATTAGCTTTACCTTCAAATTAATCTCATTAAGATTAAATATAGTTTAGGTTTAAATTAATAGTATATTATTATACGAGAGATAATGCAGGCTATTATTCACGAGGCTGAGGTTTACTTCTCGAGTCGGCAGAGGAGAGGCCTAAATCATCCGAGTGAATATTGCGCATAATCTCGAGTGTAATACTACTTTATTTACTCCAATAAGTAGATAATTAAATGATTTTCAAAATTAAATAGATAAAATCTGACATCTGTCAAATGGTTAACCTTACTTTTTACCAATTTTAAATGTTATTATCATGGAGCCTACCAGGCCCGTATCTAGACTTAAATTTCGGGGGGGGTTAGACCAGTGGCATTTGAAAAAAATTTTAAAGGTTTAAAATAAAACTATTATGTTTAAATGGGTTTTAATGAAAAAAAAAACAGGTTAAATATATTTAACAATTAACTTTAAAATTTAAAAAATAATAATTATAATAATAAAGGAATATTTCTCTGCTTTTCTCTCGCAAAACGATTTAAGACCTCTGTGGTATCAATTTTAATATTTCTATGCACACTTAAAAGGGCCAGACCTGTTAGACGTTCTTGACCAGTTGAATTCCGCAAATAGTCTTTTAAACGTCTCAATAATGACAATGATCTTTCCGATGAAGCTGTAGATACAGGTAATGTAGCAAGAATTTTTAAAAGAATATGTATATTAGGAAATATAGATCAATTGCATGCTGATAATGCGTCAATAGCATTTTTTGGTCTTCCAACTTGAACTTTAACTCTGCAGATAAGGTATCAAAGTCCAAAAATTCTTCATATAAAGAAAAGTCTTCTATTTTTACTTTGTGTGTAACGCACATAGTTGGCACTAGAAAATATAATGATGAAAGTGATTTTTTATGATTTGCAAATCTTTCAGTCAATTCTTCGATAAAATCGTCAAAAAAGGGAATTGCAACTGTAATTCGAAAATATTCTTTTGCAGTGGCTACCATGACATTAGGACGATTCTGCTGACCTGCAACTATTCTTGGAATTTTTATGCACTCTTGGTCATCTACAGACTTTATAAGTGTTTCAGATTTTTTAAAAATATTGTTAAATTCCTGATCTATATTAAGTCTCATATTCCGTACCTGACTAATAACAGTATCAACATGCTCAAGAACACTTATTAGATCAAAATCCACAGACTGTAAAATTCTGCATAAAGGTAGAGTAAAAGCAAATAAAGTGGACGCAGTTAACATACTGATGATAAACTCACTAGTCATAATCGACGGAAGAAATTGCAAAGCTTTTGAGGAAGTTTCGATGTCTTTTACTAGTTTTAGATCTTCTAGTGTTTCAACAATTGGTTTAAAAACTTCAATAAACCTTATTAGTCCGTCATGATTTTCCACCCACCGTGTTTCACACATGGATGTCAACTTAGTCCATTTAGTATTTGGAACATGTTCTTTTATTTTAATTTTTAATATCTCAGTGCGCTTAGCTGATATTTTTATAAATTTTGCTATAGATTTTATTGTTCCAATGCAATTTCTAATACTCTAAACCTTACATGAATGGGCAAGAGCTAAATTTAAAGAATGAGCACTACAGTGCACGTACATTGCTGCCGGGTATTTTTCTTTTATTATAGCCTGTACGCCTTTAAAACTGCCACTCATTGCAGCAGCTCCATCATACCCCTGTCCAACCAACTAAGTGCAATCTATTCCAAGTTCTTGTAAACTTTCTAACATTACTGTCGCTAAATTCTTACCAGTAGTATTATGAATAGCTACAAATTGCCAAAAATCTTCTCGTAATATGTAGGATTGGTTTTCGATTTCTTCATTAAAATCTATGTATCTTACACAAAGTTTCATCCATTAGAATAGAGAAAAATTTTGCTCTCTTTATTTTAAGTACAATTTTATGTTGTATTATTTCGCCACAAATTTTGATAACATTATTTTGAATTATTGGGCTTATGTACATTGTGTTTAACGACTGGCCTTGAATGTGATCAATTAAATTTTTGTCACCACATGAGAGGCGCATACGCAGCAAAGCCCTGAAATTTCCATCATTATGAGTGGGTTGATTCAAATTTAATGGCCCAGAATCAGAAGTTCCTCGTAGAGCTAGCTCTTGACGCCCACACAAGATAATGTCTCAATTATAGGTGCTAGTTTTCTTCTATTTTCTGAAATTTGCTTAGAACGGCTAGAATCGAGTTGCATCATAATATCAGGCGCAGATCTATTAAAAGTTGCTATAAAATTATCGGCAAAAACGGAGTTATTTTCGTGATAGACAGCTTTACCGTGTTGGATAAATACCTCAATAGCATCTTTCCAGTTAATAAAAGGTTTTGCAACTAATGCATTAAGCTTCTGATGATCTCCTTTTCCACTAAATTCGCGTGCAAAAACTGCACAATACCTACACACTGCACCTTGGTCACCTTTGGCGGTATAGCTAAGCCACTGAAAACGTTTTAGCCAACTTAATTGAAATTTTAAGTTTCTTTTTTTGAAAATGGGAAAGTTATATTTTTCATCTGGAACCCACACAGCCGTCAAGAGTTTATACTTAAAATCATCGTTTAGTTTTTGATCAAAACTCCAACCGATGTCTAACTCATGAATATTATTTTCCGGAATTGTCGGTATTTCATCTGTATGCAACATTGAATTGGCTGTACCTGTATGGCTGCAACTTGCAGCTTCTTTCGCTGATTCGGTCGAAGATTTTGGCTTTTTAACTAAAAAATTAGATAATGAGGTTTGTAAACTTCTTTTTGCCATTACGATGTAATTTCTGTAAGAAAATTATGAATTTACCAAAAACTGATGACTATAAAATTTATAGTATAAATAATATTTTATATAACATTACCTTTTGTCATACTGTAGTAGTTGTAATTAAAATTTTCTTAACACAAATATTATTAGTCTATTAGTTAGTTAGTTAGTAATAGTCACTATTATTTACCAAGTTAAATATTATCACATAGTACTAAGTACATAATACACATTACAAGTTTTTTGCGCGCCACTTGCCTAACATTTTCTAAAAATTATAAACAAATCTATTCCGGGAATTCTCCTAAAGCACTCGACGCACGCACGACCGTTTCAATTTTTATAACTAACTTTAAATAAATATTTATTGATTTACTTTAATAAGTAAATATGGAAAGTGATTTAAAAAATATGAAAACTATCAACAAAAATGTAACTTTTTACTGTGTATTATTTTTTTATATATAAATTTATATTTTGGGATTTTATTTTCTTTCGGGGGGGGGTTTGAACCCCCAAACCCCCCCCCCCTAGATACGGCCCTGGAGCCTACACAAGGAGTCCGAACTGCATGTAAAGAAGAATCTTCCTAAGGAAAGTAGGCGCTGGTGTACCATTTATTCTGAAACAATTGACTAATTTGTACCGAAACGCTACCAAAAGAGCAGACGTCAGTTTGCATCAACAATCAGCGCCGCTGGTGGTGAAAAAAAAGACTTAATTTGTGCAATTTAGAGGGCAGGTTTTGTCAATTTTCCCTATTATGTTCGGGCCCTTGTGTAGGTTCCATGGTTATTATAGTCGCCTTCTTTCAATTTAAGAACCGGTTCAAATCACCGTGAATTTTAAAATCGGCCAATTACTGATGCCTAACAACGTGAATAATGAGTTTATTATTCACGTTGTTAGGCAGAAAATTTATAATGTTTAACAATATTTACAAAAAAAAAACCAAAATTATCCTATATGAGTAGATATATTTTTGTATTATATTATGTTAATAAAGTAAAACCCTTTTTTACAAAAAAAAATAGAACAGACCCTGTGATGTGCTTTAAGCCAATAAGCAATAAATATTAATTATTGTTTTTCTTTATTTCCTTTATAACATCATTTGTTTTTTTTTTATTATAGAAATTATATCATGTAAGGATGTACAAAGCTAGTGATTAGGGGGTTTTGTTATTAATAATAATAATAATAACTTATTATTGTAGCTAAATTATATTTGAACTCATTTTAGTCAAAGTATAAACCTTATTTTTACCAACGAAATCTAATTATTTGATAATAGTGATATGTTCATATTATTATTATATTTTTTGTGTTAGCTAACGAATTTAAAAATCGATGTTTTGATTTTGGGATCACTATTGCCTAATTAAATTTACTATTAAAATTTTCTCAGTCTCCGTCAGTGAGTTTGTATACCAATACATCAAAATTAAAACTAAAACTATTAAAGTTATAAATAGTGTTTTTTTAGAATAAGAGATCAATAATAAATACAGATCAATATCTTTTAAATCATGCTGTTATTTTAGATATTTTTATATTTATGTTGGCAATGTTTGGAAAATCATTATAAATAGAATTACAATATTACCGAACAATGATAAGTAATTATTTCTGCGATTATATGAACGACATTGATTCGGACAATATGTGGTTCCAGCAGTTTGAAGCTACGTGTCATCCTGCTTAAAAAATCCTTGATTTATTGAGGAATCGATTCCACATTATATCGCGAAATGGACCAGTGATACTGGTCCAGTGCCTTGGACACCGAGAATTTGACACCAATCTATTACTTTTTGTGGGGCTATGCAAAATCTTTGGTCAAACAAAAATCACAGTAATCTAAGTATATATTTTTTGTTTTAGAGTAAAATGGCTTCTAAACATATGCCCGATGTTATTCCAATTCCATTGCCGGATGACGTATTAGTTGAAATCGTTTCAAAATCAAGAGATTGGGCTTTAATGCATGGAGCAGCAATGAGATCCAAATCGAGTTTTTCAGAAGATTCTGTTACTTTTGCACCTTTTGTATTGTTACCTTCTTCATTTCCAAAAAAGGAATTTGAAGAAGCTGTCGATATTCAGGTCATTCTAAATGAACTTGTACATAAAGTCGCCCACGATAGACATTTTTTAACAACATGTCTTCGGGATACAATTCAGGTCGATGATTTTACAGCAAAGTTGTTTAAGATATATGAAACTATACAGAATGAAGGCATTTCACAGGTGAGCTTTTTATTATACTTTTAATGTGTTTAAGAAACATTTAGTTAACATTTGTTATATAAGTAAATTATTATGCATGATGACAAAATTTAATGCCTATAGGCAATACATTCGAACTAAAGATTAAACAAACGAGTTTTAACTACGAATCTAAAAATCGGAAATCAATTCCAATTGTAACTCCGACTAATATTACGATAGGAATAAATCTAAGAAGTTGATTACTTAGAATGAAGTACCGGGCAAAAATGGGATATCATATAGGATATCGTAGAAATTTGAGGCAAAGCGGAAAACGTTTTAAAACGAAAAGAAAATGTTATTTCTTTTAAAATATTTATCTGTAGCATCATTTTCCTATAAATGGTGTAAAGTATTTAAAAAAAAAATCTTCTTATTTAGCTCCGGACACATGCGAAAAATATGGTTTTTATTTTACTTTACTGATTTAATTTTTTTTTACACATTTTACACAAAATAGATTCCCTTTGACACATATTATAAACTCGAAAACTATTAGGGGGATCTTTGACGATTTGTCCCTTAGCATCCCTGGATCATATTTAAAATTATATGTTTTAATTTAAAATATTTGTTTGAAAGTAATTACATTAATTTTATCACTGATTTAAAAAGGGTAGATTGGACAGATGTCTATAAGCAAAACAACGCAAATGATGCCTATACAAATTTTTATAATAAATTTTTAAATTTAGTTAATATAAGAATTTGCCCCTAAATCAAATTAAATTAAAAGCCAAAATAACATAAAATGTAACTTAAAACAACTCAGCTCAACAAGCTTTATATATCATATTTAAATCTACAAAAGATGAAAATGTTCAAAAAATATATTACATTGTTAAAAATCAGTGCCATAAATTTTTTTTCTCTGAAGTACTTTTCTATATAATAAACTAATGCATCATAGTCCCTTCCAAATCAACTAAAAATAGCTAAGGTCATTCCTAAAAAGGGCCCAAGGAATGACCCAAGTAATTTCAGACCCATTTCCATATTGCAAGTCATCTGAAAGATCTTTGAAACACGCAAGATTGTTTGATGTCTTTTTTGAAAAAAAAAAAACAAAATCCTAACAGAACAACAGTTGGCTATAGAAAAATTAAATCAATAATAAAAGCAATAATAAAACGAATCAATCAAGTATTTGATGAATTTGAATAAAAAAATTTAATTAGCTCCATATGCATTGCTCCTACTACTTGACAATATCTGGGCAAAAATGACTTTTATTTGTGGACGACACCTCCTTTTATAATGTTGCAACAGGAGTGAGTGAAGTCTTAAGAAAAGAAACAGAATGCATAGATATAGCAAACAGATTAAAAATAAACGAAGAAAAACACAAAAAATTACTTTCAATCTACAAAAACAACAACAAAATCAAAGCGTAAATTTCCTTGATATATTGATTAATTCAAATCTATGCTGGAATTCGCATATAAACTTCTTGTCGAAAACTGTGTAAATACTATAATAATCTTATTTCTTATGGGATAGAACTATTCTTCGCAAATGGAAAGAATCCTTAAAATCCGCATTATACCTTCAAAAAACAGTAAAACCCACTCTAAACCTCTTTTTTTTTAAACATAAACACAGTGCCATGCATTTTGATTCAAAAATTACTTCTGATAGCAAAAAGAGATTGTTCTTTTAACACAAACAGAAGCAATCATGAACAGAATACAAGACACAGAGAATTAATAAGCCTACCTCAATACAGGTTAGCAAAAACTGAAAAGTCACTTTATGATATTTCTATCAAACTAGTGAATATAATTCCCTAGCAGCTAAGGTCATTAGACGACAAATCATTTAAATAAAAAATAACAAAAATATTACGACAAAAAGCCCATTACTCGATAAAAGAGTTTCTGAATGATGAATTGAGGGAATGATAACTTTGATCGCTGTAAAGTTTTAAAATTGGTATCATATAGATTTTAAATATATTTTATTATTTGTATTAATTTTCTGTTTTATTATTTTCTTATTACCAGGTACCTTGTTACAAGTGTAAAAATTTGTATAAATTTAAAACAAGCAATAAATATTATTATTTTCATTATTTTGGATGCAATATTTAATAGTATATTATGTATCAAGTTTGATAAACGCCATTTTATACACGAATTTAATGTGTGTATAGAAAAGTTTATAAACGAGGTGCATACTATACTTTTTCTACCATAAATACTTATTATTATCTTAAAACGATTTAAATCAAAAATTTGTATAGAGCGCCATCTATGAAACAACAGGGGAATCTGTGTGTCACCTTCAAATGTCAAATTTTTACATTTTATAAACACAATTATAAAGGTTATAAATCGAAATGTATTTCTTGAAAATTGACAGTTTTTCACAGTGAAAGTAAAGAAAATGTTTTATGAGAACTTTACAGTGGAGTCCGTGCCCGAATTTAAGTTATAGTTTACTGCCGGCGAAATTAAAAGGTCAGTACAATGTTCATATAAACTTTTTAAATATTTGCGTTAAGAAACTATTTAATACTTTTGTATTTTTGTATCAAGATAATAAAATAATTTTCACATTTAGTATTATTTTACAAGAAAGGCCATTTATTTTAACGATTGTATGACATTTGACAACTGTCAACTAACTTAAAACCAACTTCTTAATGTGTATTTAAAAGGTCCCTTACTGTCATGGAAACATGTACGATAAAGGACGTTTTAAAGGTGGGAGTAGAAAAAAATACTTATATTTTAGGGCGCAGTTTTAACATTTGTAAAAAAATATTATTTGATATAATGAGATATTTGTTTTTATGCTTGTAACTTGTAAATCTTGGTGAGTTTTAATGATTTGCTTCTACTTCTGAACCTTTTTACCTTGACAATAATAATATTAATAATTACTACGGTATTGTGAAGACCTTGAGGGAACAAGGGGATAAGACACATTTTGTCGAAAACGATCCATACTAGTTTTGTGATTAAATCTTTTTTGAATATGTAATATGACTAATTATAATTATATATTTGACTAATTGTCATAGCCAAAAAGCAGTCACTAATAACATATTTTTTACATGTTTTTATATTGTAAATAAAATATAATCATCAGGTGACATGATCTTTTTATATATTAAAAAAATTGTTTAAATTTAAATACAACAGCCAAAAGTTCAGATTCCTGTAACTCTTACAAGAAATAGGTATAAGTTACTGGAATTAGGCAGGCGCACTGTGGACTGGAATGGCAAAAAAGTGGCCAAAATTAATAAAAAAAAAACTAATTAAGGTATCATAATGAAATTCTAACACAATATTTATGTGGTATTAATCTTAATCCTGTACAATTTTAACTTAATTGGCTCAGCGGCGGCGATTTTATAATAATAATACATTTATTGAACCAATGGGTTTAAATGATTAAAAATTGTTAAAGTAAGTTAAAATTCCAATTATTTTTAAAACTATTTAAAATTTTATCGTGATATTTTAGCACAAGTTTTCTAAATAAATAATTTTAACTCTCTCCAAATTGTAATTGAATTGGCTCAGTGGCGGCCATTTTATAAGGGTTTAAATGAATTTCTTAAACTAAGTTAAAGATTATAATCTTATTATAATAATTATTATTGTTTTTAAAACTATTAAACTATTAAAAATATATTCTTGACATTTTAACACAAGTTTTATATACTATATATTTATATAAATATCCATTCATTCCAAATTTGAATTTAATTAGTTCATTGGCGGCGATTGTATAAGGGTTTAAATATCAACATGATAACTTAAAATCTTATTTATTTATAATCATATATGGTAACTATGAATGTAATCGGTTAAAACTAGGCTCAGTAGTTTTTTGTTTGGTTTTTGTTGGAAAATGTTGAATGCAAAATAATTTAATAAAATCACGAGACCGCGTAGTGGTCGAGGGGTTTTATTTTTAATTATTTTGCATGAAACTATTTTCCAAAAAGAAAAATCAAATAAAAAACTTACTGAGCATAGTTTGACAGATTAAATTTATAGGTTGAGTGATATACGTCTAGATTATTTCTCGAATTAAAGGAAACTATTTGACAATTCATAAAATCTGACGTATGTGTCAAAATTTATAAATATTTTTTTAAAGAAAATTCCATTATTGTTATTAAACAACTTTTCTTACTACTTCGACTGAAAATACGTTGTTTCGTCCCCGATTTCACGGCAGAAAGTTTACGTTTCTTGCATTGGTCAAGGTATACGCGCACACTCTACTCGTATAATAGCGGGAGTAAAAATTTTTTAGTCCTGTGCTGAACATATGCAACTCTGATTACGACATTAATATAACCTCAAAATTTGGGCAGGCATCAATATGTTTCGATATACACATTTAATTTTTTCGGCCGGGTTGTATTTTCGGCCGAGGTAGTAAGAAAAATAGTATATACTACACGGGCAGAAAGTGTAATGTAATATACTATTTTTGTTGGTATTTTTTAACTGTAAAATTGTAAAGATAGATAAATATCCTATCTCTTATTTAAAAAAAGATACAGCTATTTAAACATGAATTATTTTAAATAAACCTGATACACTGCGCTAATTTCGTGCCCGGCCGGCCAAGCCGCGGCCACATAAAAACCTTAATAATATTCGAAGCCGCACAAAGTCGCATCAAAACTTTAGATGGACTTGTTCACAAGATTTTGGCCTACAAAATGTATATAATTAGAGCTCGATTCCCCTAGAAAAAAACTTTTCCCCTTCTTAAAGTTAAAAAGTATTCAGTTTTAAGCACTTTAGATTATTGTTAATAAATAACTTGTTTGTTAATATTTTTTTTAACTATAAAATTGTAAAGATATATAAATATATTAGCTTTTATTTAAAAAATATTTATTTGTTTTCAAGTTACAGTCACTCAAACTTGAATAATTTTAAAGAAAAAATAATAATTTGTATTGATTTTAAGCTTGATCAACTTTAAGGTTCTATAACTTTTTATTA